ACTCCTGTCTGCTAAGAACAGGAAACTGAGGCTACAGTGGGCAGAGGCTCACGAAAACTAGGCAACCGATTGACTGGAAAATATTGCCTGGTCTGACCAATCGCAGTTTCTATTGCAACCTGCAGGTCGTCAGGTCAGAAGTGGTGGAACCCTTTAGGATTGGTGGAATGGGAGATTCACAGCATTAATGTGCAGCCCAAAAATCTGCAACAACTGCATCATGCTGTAACATCAATATGGATCAGAATCAATATAGAAGGTTTCCAGCACCTTCATAAATTCACAAAAGTTCTGGGTTCAAAAGGGGACTGTACCCAGTACTAAAAGTTGTACCTAATAAAGTGACCACTAAGTATATATTTATTAAACTACATGTAATTAAATTGCCTGTACAGTAGGGCCCCGCTTTAACGGCATTTTGCTTTGTGGCATTCTGCTAATATGGTCATTTCAAATTATGACCAAAACTGTCTATACGGTTCCCTCCACCTGATTTTCTAAGCACCACCCAGTTTGTTTTACATTCTCCGTGAGATAAACACTAAGTCTCTCCATTATGTCAAGAAACTCCAAAATTTCAAATGTTTTAAAGTTATTTCATATTTTATTTTATACTCTGATATTTATAAATTAAGTATTCCTGTACCTAAATAAACTTGCACACTGTGCTGGCATGCAGGTACACATTAAAATCGGTAAGAGTGTCTTATGTCTCGAGACACCATATAGTAATAATAATAATAATAATAATAATAATAATAATAATAATAATAATAAATCACCAAGCCTCACTGAATGTCGTGTATTACATTAATACACATATTTTCGTTAATCCATCTATGACCTTTCTTCAAAATTATATAATAAACACGATACATAACATATAAAGATGATAAATACATCCCACAGTAGAATAACATTTTCTCTAGTCCAATATAAGAAAAAAATTTTTGTTTCTGGGGGGTAAAATGCAGAAAATTATTCCCTTCATATGTAAGTTTTTTCAGGTATACACAAAAATAGTTACAAAAATTATCATACATAACAGCATGTGTGTAAAGTACCTAGGATAACCCAAAAAAGTCAGAGAGTGAGTGAGTGACTTCCACTCCTTCACTCAAAGAGTCATTTCTTCTAAAAATGGTGTTACATGAGAATGGAAGAGTTGCTCTTTATTTATTCTACCGTATCAATGTAGAGACAACTTGTACACAAACCAGACATGTATGCCCCGCCTTGTTTACAGAACTTGCATTCGCCTGGTTTATTTACATAGCTCTGTGCCTGTCCTCCCTCATGTACTCATTCTCTCTCCCTCTCATTTATTCGTTTTGTCTCGTTTGCTCACCCCTGACCCTACATTAAGACTACAAATATTTTAAGGTAAGTAATAAGTGAATTGTATATGCATTTTATCGCTCTGGGATGCTTAAATATCATAGATTATGTGTGGGTGGGTGGGTTGGCCTGGCTGGCCACCATACATACTGCACTTGATTTCTTACAACAAATACTATACAAATACACCTACCATCCGACTTACGACCTGCTCGACTTACGACCACTCGACTTACGACCGTGTTTTTTTATGCCAAATTTCTGGAAAAAAAAAAACAAGTGTTTATGTTGTACACAGTGTTTATCCTAAACCTTACAGTATAAAATACAGTACTAACACATAAAAAGTAAAGTAAAACATGAAATACCAAAATAAAACAATAAAATAAAGTCATTACAAAAATGTTTTGTTGATATTCAGTAGTAAAGTTCAACTTACGACCATTTCGACCTACGACCGGTTTCTTGGAACCGAACTCGGGCATAAGTCGGATGGTAGGTGTATTTTAAGGTAAGTAATGAGTGCACTATAATGTATTTTACTTTTGTATTGTTTTTTAATGCCTAGTTCTATTGCTAACTTAACCCTTTGAGGGTCGACAGGCTCTCTCAGAAACTCGTTCTCAGGGTCGGCCAAATTTCAAAAAAAAAAAAATTATTTTTTTCTTATGAAAAAACAGTTTTTTCCTAAACATTATAGGCTAAACAAAAAATTTTTACCATCAATACTTACCAAGATATGGAGGCGTGAAGTTTGCCAAAATTGAACAACATATGATAACATCGCTGACTGCCGTCACCTGGTATTTTTCTATTTACTTTTTTATGTACTATTTTCAATTATTTTTCAATTTTTCTTTTTCTGAGTAACTTTTATGGCCTCTGGGGCCAAAATGATCAGAAATTTTGTAAGTTTTTTTTTTTTCAATACTACACAATAAGAGCGTAAACACTGTTGTCATTATTTAGTTTATAGAAAATATTTACACAAACTAATGAAATGTTGTTTTTACTATTTTTTCTATTTTTTTATATACACATATACAGCCCACAGGAATGTTTCTAGAAGTTCTGCAGCCTGGGGAACTTTTTGAAACATGGTGTCATCACAGGGGTGTTTTACACCGTCACAATAAAACGAGTGTCTTTGCGTTTTTGTGTGCTTTTTTTGTATTGCACAGACGTAACACCTCTTTGAGTTTTTTTCTCAAGCATAGCAGGCATTTTTTTAACCAGAATGATCCCCATGCTTCAGACGAGCGGGAGTTGTTGATAATTTGGGGGGGTAAATTGCGGGTGCTTTTTTCCTTGGTCTTGAATACCATTTGGCTATGACAGACAACAGAATTCGCCGTACTGTGGTTTTGTTTCTGGCCTCACTTATACATATTATAAGCTTGAGCATGGAAATGTCCAAAAGAAAAAAAAGAGTTTGATGCACCACTTACAACTTTTGCGAACAACAATCCAAACCCAATCTGCATGTCACATTTGTCCACGAATGCATGTTAAAGGTAATCAATCACGGTTTGCGGGTTTTTTAAAAGGGTTCATTCTCTCTCTATGCGCCTCCCTGTCTACCTTTTCATTAGGGTGAACTGAGAAAACAGTGCGACATCTCATTTGTCATCCACCGAAAGCCATGATGTCAGGCAGCAAACGCCGAAACCCACCTCTACAGTGCCAGCGTCAAACCTGGGCATATGTTTTCCGTTTTGCACACACTGTCCCACACACATCTGTATGTTCACGCGAAAAAAATCACTAGTGGGGGGGCTGTTTCCCAGTTTCTTATACAATAATGCCCCTTCCAAGGTAGGGTTTCTACTTTTTCTAACCACTCACCGAGATCCCAATAACTCCCTGGTTTTTGCAATGATAATTTCCGTACACAATAATACCCAAATACCAACCACGTAACAATCACAAGCACAAAAAACTTTATACCAAAGCGTTCCTCTTCTTGGTAGTATTGCTTGAAAAAGTCTTCCCGAACAGAATCAAAGACTTGTCAATTTCAACTTCCTGAAGGGATAAAAAGCGTACAAAATTTTTCTTTCAGATACACAAACACATTCCTAATTTTTTATAACCTTCGTTCTGTCAGGTCTGGTTTTTGTCTGAGAATGAAGCATACGTAACATTAGCACAAATCGATTTTACTGGGATTATATCACGAAACCTGGGGTTCAATCAGCGGTCGTTGACCATATGGTTAAATTTGGCTTATACACATTGGCATAAGCATTATTTTGGGAAAGAAAAGATACATCTCGGGCCCCAGTTTTTCCCCCCTTCCACTGGGGGTTAAAAAAGATTTTTTTGAAATAAAGTTTGCCATGGGTACTCCCTAGTATGTTTGTTTCCCTACAAACCTTTCCCTCATGGTTCATCAAAGAATAATCGAAACATTCCAGTTCATGGCATTTGTTTTCCCCAAGTTAAAAAGAAGGCCTATTCCACTTTGGCGTCATCAAAAGGTGGGCATTTGGGGAAAAAAATTGACACTTCCTGCCCAAACCCCGGGGCGGTCTCTGGTGGGTACTGGACAATGAAAGGGGTTGTGGAGGTTGTGGTTGTGGAGGTTGTGGTTGTGGAGGGTGGTGGGGGCGGTGGGGGATGGTGGGCCCTTTGTTGTAGAAACCCGAGGCAGTGGCGTGGGTGGCAGCGTGGGGGCAGCATGGCCCACGCTGGTGCCTCACCCCCGGCACCCCTACACCACGCACATTTTCCCTCCCCAAATGCAAAAAGTACATCATCATTTTCACGTCTTTCCGTTTTACACCACGGGTTACTCCCGAGATGCACCCTTCCCCTTGGAAAGCATATGGGACACTACCAGAGCGCATATACTTGTATATACTGACCTTCACTGGGGAATAATTTACTTCACATCACTACGGGGAAATAGTTTGAAGCTTGTATTCTATTCACTATCACTATCACACACATCCTCACTGAGTCGGGGTTTGGGAAAAAAGAATTTCCTCTTGGATTCTGGACAAATGAACGTGAACAAGACGGCCCAGCACCAGAGGTGGAAGGCTGAGGGTCGTCTGGGTTTTCCTCACTATTACCGATATTATGGTCATTAGTTTCGGTCAAAACCTCACCAAAACCTTGAAACTCATCTTCACTGGCACTTCCATCTGTATTAGAACTGTCACTGGGGAACAAAAGTGTCCCAATTCGCCGAGGAGTGAGGAGCTTCTTACCGTGAGGCATGGTGGACATTGTTTACTAAGATGGCGTTCCCACAATGCACCACTGGGTCCCAGATTTTTTTCTACCGCGCACACCGACCACACAGACCCATTCTCTCACATCTAGGCCTACCAGCCTTTTCCCGCGAGATTTGACGGCACTAGAATTTATGCATACTAGTACGTCAAAAACCCCTGCGCCTAAGCCGTACTAGTACGTCCGAAACCCTCAAAGGGTTAATATATGTTAGTGTAAACTTGTTATATAGTATTTATATGCATTTATAAGTGGAAAGAAAAGGTGTTCCACTTAACGGCGATTTCTGCTTTATGGCGATAGCCTGGAACCTAACCTAACCTGCCGTATAAGTGGGGCCCTACGGTATTTACTTTAATTCAACATTAATAAAAGTAGACAGGATCTAGTATAACACAGTGGTAGTACAATGGTGGTCGTACCTTTCTTGGGGGCTTCTCCTGTACAGTCCTTAGGTACTCTCTCTGAACATTTCTTGTGAGCGTTGAACTTACAGTCTTTACACTGAACACCTTGTCGGAACAAACCTGCAAACCAATACATTCACTGTATTAAAATGTTTATCAACACTTTACCTTGTACAATAATAAAGAATAGAAATGCAGGTGGAATAGAAGAAGCTTAAATAAGATAACAGAAAACACAAGAACACTACTAACTAGCCAGTAGTGACTAGTTGAACAACAGTAATAACCATTGCTCAACATCCAGCAGTGACTGGTTAATTTTCATTAACATTAACAATAAAGTATGATTAGAAGCAATATTATAATAGTATTATATTTGTGATCATTGGGTGTCGATGCCCTAACCCCCAGGAGGCATCGACCTCCTCTCAGAGGGGTGGCGATCCCTCTTGAGGGAGCTAAGACCCCTCTCTCTACTTTCTCAGAGTGGAGAGCAGGAGCAGGAGAGAGGTCATGCCCTATTCTTTTCACACTAGCACACTAGCAGAGATCAAGTAAGGTTTTGTAGTTTGCTAAATAGCTTCATTAAGGCATTCCAGAATGCCCATTTATATTAACACATGTTTCTGATCCTGCAAAATCAGACACCTTCTAATAGGATTGAAGATAGCGAGCAGATAAGATAGACACCCAATATTCACACATGTCCAGCAGAATTTACACTCTTACAGGAGTCTCTGCATGTGTTTGTCTGAGGAAATTGCTATTTCCCAGGACTGGGAAAAATTCAAAATAATTTGCTTCTCAACTGATATTTCTAGGAACATTATTCTTCTTATCCGGCACCTCAGACTCGAGGAATCCACTCCTGATTCGACTAAGTCACCAGAGCCGGCATCTACACCTGTAGACATCGTGTCAACAGATAACCGCCCATAAAAGGAGGGTGGAGGTTGCAACAGGTGGATTGCAGTTTGATTTGACCATGATCGTGTGATGAAGTGACCAGAGTGTGAGGAAAAAGCTTGTTATGTGAGTGGAAGCATGAATGAGTGGTGGTGGTGGTAGTGTAAATGGATGAATGCTTGTTGGGCATTGGGCATGCATCTTCACCTCTCTACAACCCCCTCCCCTGCTCCTTCTCCACCCACTGAGAGTTAACATGGGACCCTCCTGACAAGTTCACATCACTTGACTTTCTGCTCCCATCAAGTCTAAGTATAAAATTCCACTCATTTTGTTTTATGATTTCTTTTTTTGTTAATTTAACCAGACCTGATTTGACTTACAAATTTTAATGTAAATTTTCTTAGTTCTCACCATTTCTTTTAAAGGTCTTCTGTCTACCACATGAGTGACTGCTTGTCCAGGTTTTTAACTTTTTATTTCTGTCTTGTTTAGCCTTGTTGATCGAACTGGGTCAGTGGACACCAGTGAGACAAGGTGGGCAGTTTGATCTATGCTCTAGATCAGAAACTTAACCTCATCTTTAACTGAACCCAAAAGCAGCCTCTTCATCCTTGGTGACTGATCATCGAAATGCTCTGCATATATTGGGACTTTCGGGCATGTACACCCATATGTCATTCTCCTTTGTACAAACACTATCATGCTGGAAACATTATTATTATTATTATTATCTGTTGGCTTCAGAGCAGGGGTCGCAACCCTGAGAGCAAGTTTCAGAGCAGGGGTTGCGACCATGAGAGCAAGTTTGTTGCGACCCCTGAATGGGTCACAATGTATATAATGTATATTAACTTTTCATATAATTTTATATTGCTTATATTTGCGATAATAGCTAAATCGTAAATATATTGCTTTATATTATTATTTGACTTAGTTATATTGTTAGGCAGGCTGTAACATTTATATATTATTATGTGCTCATAGTTCAAGTCTTGAGTGTCTAACTACTGTAATTATTGCTCGTGGCTCGTTACTCTGCCGGCTTCTCGGTGTTGCTGGGCAGCAACAGTCCATGGAGCTATCACGTGATCGAGGGGGGGGGGGGTTCACACCTCGCCTGGAGCAGTCAGTCTGGGCTAGACTCTCTTGGTGGTAGGACATATTCCTGACAAGACGTGCCTAACTCTCCCTTGCTGGCCCTTGTTGGAAGATTGTCTCTGTCGTTTTCTTGTTGTAGGTTCTGTAGAACTCAGTTCACAGAACACTGTCTAGACTTAGTGATTTTCGACGTTGTACTGAGGCTGTGTCTCATAGACACTCTGAGAAACTCAGGTCCTGAGCTGTAGCTTCTGACCTAACTTGTACTGGTATCTGTGTACTGTCACAGTCGGGGATTTTCATATGCTGAACATAGATTCAGTAGTATGGGAGTTTTTGTGACTTTTGTGGAGGATCTGCTGATGGTCCCTACTTAGCGTCGTTATATTATCTCCTTGTTCCTGATTCTGTGTCGCAGTTGCTTGTTATATTGCTATTGGGTTTAGCACTCTTTTTATTGTTCAAACAAGCTGTTCTGATTGCCAGGTAGTCAAGAAGTTAGTTAATGTGAGGACTTAGTCACTAGTTAAGTCTAGTTGAGTTTTGAGACATAGCGAACTACTTAGAGTACTTACACACATACACACAAACTTATCTGTATATATATATATATTATTAAATGTTAATGTACCAGACGGTACTTAAGACGCATAAATGTGGTATGTGCCTTCAGCACAATACTACTGTACACGAGAGAAGTGTAGCAACTTGTATCCTATATTATATTCAATTGACTAATTTAATTTACTTTGATCTTATACCTCTAGACATTATTATTAATAAACTTAATAAATTTTAATTTTTCTAGTTAGTAGCCTACCAGTTGTAATCCTGAAGCACTAATAATTCTTACTGAATTCCAATGGATAATTGGACCAGGATACTGACTACTTGTTACAGAAACCCAGTAACAGGCTGGATGCTAGAAGGGCAGTCCTTTCTAGTATTCACTGGAGATCTCTATGCTTATTAGAAATCGTGTTTTTTGTAACAAAGTTTCAGAGCAGGGGGTAGCGACCCTAGAGAGCAAGTTTCAGAGCAAGGGTCACGACTGTTGTGACCCCTGAATGGGTCACAATATATTTGTATATTCCCTTTTCATATAATTTTATATTGCTTATATTTGCGATAATAGCTAAATCATAAATATATTGCTTTATATTATTATTTGACTTAGTTACTTTTATTAGGTAGGATGTAACATACATATATATTATTCAGTGCTCATAGTTCAAGTCTTGATTGTCTAACTACTGTAATTATCGCTCGTGGCTCGTTTTCTCTGCCGGCTTCTCGGAGTTGCTGGGCAGCAACAGTCCACGGAGCTATCACGTGATAGTGGGGGGATGGGGTCACACCTTGCCTGGAGCAGTCAGTCTGGGCTAGACACTCTTGGTGGTTGGACGTATTCCTGACAAGATGCGCCTAACTCTCCCTTATTGGCCCTTGTTGGAAGATCGTCTCTGTCCCCTTTTTGCTTTTGGTTCTGTAGAACTCTGTTCACAGAACATTGTCTAGACTTAGGATTTTGACGTTTTAAGATCTCCCCAACATTCACGTTTTCAACATTCAGGGTTCACACATTGCGAGGTCCCAATGCCAAATTCCCAGCCACCAAATTCCCCACCCGTCAAATCATATTAAGTTTCCCGCCCCCTGGGGTCCCTACTCCCCCCTTTCCGCCCCCGAATGGCCCACCAGCCCTCCCACCACTCATGTGGCGGTGTTTTTTTTTTTTATCACACTGGCCGTTCCCCCCAAAGGGCGGGTGGCCAAAAAAGAAAAATTTTCACCATATTCATCCTCAGTCTTGCCAGAAGGGTGTTTTAAAACCTAAGTTTTTAAAACTGCAAACATTAACACCCCCCTTCAGAGTGCAGGCCTGTATTTTCCCATCCCCAGGCCCAAAGTCCCCCTGGGGTTTTCCCTGAATCCCTTATAAATTTTACTTTGCTCACACCCCAACAGCACGTCAAGTATTAAAAACCATTTGTCTCCATTCACTTATCAAACCGCTCAGCACCCTCGGGAAGTCCAACCCCCTCCACAAAAAAACCTCCTTTACCCCCCCCCTCCAACCCTTCCTAGGCCGCCCCCTACCCCCCCTTTCCCTTCCCCACAGACTGATACACTTTTGAAGTTATTCTGTTTCGCTCCATTCTTCTACATGTCCGAACCACCTCAAAAACCCCTTTCCTCGCCCCTGGACACATTTTTGGTTCCCGCCCCCTCCTAATTTCCCAAACACAAATTTCTCTGCATTATTTCAACCAACATTGCCCTCAGACATGACTCTCCACTGCTCCACCCTTTTCCTCACGCAACATTCACACCCTGTTAAACCCCCATATAAGGCGTTGGTAAAACTTACTTCATAATTCCCCCTTTCCCTCCAAGGACAAAGTTCTCGTCTCCACAGACTCCAATGCACCACTCACTCTTTTTCCCTCATAAATTTCTATGTTCACCTCTCTTTCATAGACCCACCCGCTGACCGTCCACTCCAAATTCGAATCGTTCACCCCCTCCATCTCTCTCCCCCAAAATTGATATTCAATCTTTCTCACCAAATTTTTTTGTTACCTCATAACCTTACTTTTCCTGTTTTCCCTTTAATTTTCTTCTTTTGCACACCCTACAAATTATCCCACCAATTCTGCATTTCTCTTCAGAATCCCCCAAGGCACAGTGTCATCAGCAAAGAGCAGCGTGACAATCCACCCTGTGTGTGATTCTTTATCTTTTAACTCCACGCCTTTTGCCAAGCCCTCGCATTTTATTTCTTAAAAACCCCACTATAAATATATTAAACAACCACGGTGACATCACACATCTTGTTGGCCCTTTTTTTTATGGGAAAAAAATTTCCCTCTTTTCTACATATTTAAACTTGAGCCTACTATCCCGTAAAAACTCTTCATGCTTTCAGTACCTACCCCTACCTACCTTGCAACATCTGCCACATTGCCCCCTATCCACCCTGCTCGCCTTTTCCAAATCCCCTAAATGCCAAAAAGACCTCTTTTGCCTTTTCTAAATACTGTTACTTATATTTCCTGTAAACCCTGGGGCCACACCCCCCTCCTTTCCCAAAGCTCCTTGTTCATTGCTTC